GGTATGTGACGAATGCAATCATCATTCACATCTATACTGCAAAACGTGCAAAAAAGTAGTGAATGGAATATATAAGCGGTGTGAATGCGATAAAAAATTTATTGTTACGTATAACGGTAGATAATTTTTTCCAATCTAACATGTTATAATAAATTTCGCAAAATTTATCTGTATCACCTTGCAAGGCTTATCATTATGCATAACTTATTTGTGAGACGGGCACAATTAGAAACTGCCATTTCAACATTTGTCAGAATTAGTCCCTAACCAAAGTCGGTCAATTAACTTATGCCACATCTCACATCTCACATTTATTCTTCATATTCACTCTGGACCGAAACCTTATCTGGTCTAAATGCGCACAATGTATGCATATACGACGGAGTATCAAGTCTTATTTTTTAACAATTTTAGCCTTACATGGCTCTTTAACTCGTGATGCATATATTTACATAATCTATACAAAAATTCTTTGCTGTGCTTTTCAGAAATTTCTTTGCATGTCTCAACTTCTATCGTAGAAATTTTCGATGTAAGAGTGCATGTTTTTACTTCTGTCTAACCTATCTAACATTTTGAGTTTCAGGGAAGAGATAAGAAAAATATATAAAAGGGCAGTATCTCGAATTTATTGTCATTTGTCGCTTATTAGTGATTTGGCTTTATTTCGTATTCTATCATCGAAACTAAAATTTCTTTTCTACACCAAATTAACAATACAAAACATGTTTAATTTATCCACTCCATTAACTGAAATTTTCGCCTCTTTATATGACTTCCTAAAAACCGCTTCTTCTGACAAAATTACTATTTCCAACATAATTACACAGCAGTGGAATTGCTTCAAAGTTCAAACAGAAGAAGATGATCTTGAATGCTTCAAAAAAATTCTAAAAGAAACGGTCAGTCAAATTAATAATGGAGAACGTAGGCAACATCTTAAAAAATTATTGCAAAATAGTGATTAGGTATTTTTTATCACTTTGATATTTGTATATTAAGAATGAGATGATGTGAATATAATGTCTAGACATTAATAAGTATAATGAGATTGAAAAAGCAACATATTGTTAGCGAGAATCTCTTTCATTACACTTATTATGATGACTTTTAGATAATAATGCCGGCCGGCTATTTCTGATTAAGATGGGAATTTGCGCAAAAAAAATAATGATGTTTTGCTGAATTTTATTAACCCATCTTTATTTTTATAGGTACTATTTATTAGAAATGAGTTAGTATTACTGAAAAATATGGGGTTCTTACAGAGGAAATTCCAAGAAGAGGTAGATTGGAAAGCTTTAGCATTAAACAGTATATCGCTTTTGAAAGATAAAATCGAGGTAATTTCTTATCCAAATTGATTTTTTCTTATAAAATTCACTTTTTAAGCTAGTATTTAATTTGATCTTTTTTATGAAATTAACTTTTTAATCTACTAGGAGGAAGAATCACTGGCACATAAACATATATTCACAAGAATAAGCAATATAGATGTAGATAAACTATCAAAAGACGACCCATTATGCATTGGAATTGTTGATCTTAGTTCGGATAAATATAATATTTCAGAAAGTAATTTCAAATCCCTCGTTGTACGTATATAATATCTACATTTTCCATTTATGAAGGCTATGTATAGATTTTATATATAGAAGACAATACTTATTATACATTGATCTTAATAGGGAGAGAAGACTGACATAAGAAATCTAAGTAAAGATATTGCAGTGAAGAATGTTTGTTACGAATTTATATCAAGAAGAAATGAGGTTCAAAATTCGCGGAAATTTGTGTTGGCTTCAAGAGAAATTGTGACACATGATCAATGGGTTGAAGCTGATCATGTTAGGGGACTTGTAGCAAATGGAATTACTAATGCTCTTTTACAGGAAATTAAGCTGAATGCACTTCAAAGAGTTTCCGAGGGTTCAGAAAATACATTGGTGGAGATCGTCTCTCATCTATTAGATATGACTATGTATCACTTGCCTGTAGATTTTGAAGTTGAAGTTACCAGGTTTGAACGGCAAAGTATAGCCAGTAAGAACTGGAAGATTCATCAAAAAACCGGATCGAGAGGCAATAAACCTGATATTATGATTCGTGCTTATCTTCGCCAGAAATGGG